CTCCTCTTTACCATTTTGTTTGTATCATCTCTTCTTCCTCTATGGACATGTTGACAAAGTTATCTGCCTAGATTCTTAATCAAACGCAGTTTTTATTTTGTTACAAACTTTTGCACTAGCAATGTTTCTTTCCGTGTATCCACGGCTATGCCAGAATAAACTGAACTGAACTGAACTGAACTGTCCTTTACAAGAAACGATCCTGTGAAGCGAAGGTTTATCTCTGAGATGTGCGCAACCGTGTTTTCCGATTGAGTGAAAATCATTTTGCTAGAAACTCTAAAGAGAGTGTGTTGCGTACTACAAGATTCCTCGTTCAAAACTGCTTTTTTTATCAGCTTTCATTTTGTCATACTATCATCTCTCTCAAATTTCATCCGATTGAACTAAATATTTTATCAGAGGTACTCAAAACACTGTCGCGACGGTATTTTTCTTTGGACCGTACCATCCCGAGGGTTCTAAAGTTGAAAAACTAGCTTTCCGAAAGCTCTCTCAATTTTTTTTCCTATAAGTCGAGTGGGAATGGCCGTAAGAAAAATTTCAAAAAAATACTGCTGCGTTAGTGTCGTGAGTACTTCTACGGGAAGTTGTGGGAGGGGAAAGAGGCATCATTATCATCCAACAATCTTCACGAACACTCCTTTTTTTCAAATCTTTCAGCAAATTGTTTTTGTTGTTGTTCTTGGGCAAAACAACTTTCTAATGACTTACACACTGTATAAAGCCATAAATTATAATCTGCTCGACAATTATCCTCATTCAGTATGTTAATTATTGATTCTATATCTGCTTCAATTTCCTTTTGAAGAAATTGACCAACATTTTTTGAATTCACATCTTTATAGAAGTCTTTTGGTAATTTAAATAATTGCATTTCGTCTGTTATTAACAATAGACTGTGTGAAATTAAACGTAATACATATTTTCCAAGTGTTGATAGATGATTTTGATTTTGCTCATTGATAATTTCGTTATTCTCATATTTTTTAATACAGTTATCGATAAATTTTAATCCATCTTTAAGTAACATACTAATTTGTGGTGGATCTCGATCATATAACTTATGGGTAAATACTTCATTACCACCTATTATTTGATTACAAATTGGACAGTTATTTTTTGCTTTTGGTTTACCGCAATTCTCAAAATAAAACATATAATCACATATTTCTGAACATTTACAAATATATGTATTACGCTTGTTAACACCTTGTATAACGCATTTCATTTGTTGAATATATTGTTTTCTGGTATCATTATCACATTTAGCACTCTCTACTGAAGTTCTGTGAATAAATTGTAAATACGTTTTCGGTAGATAATTATCATGTAGTAATAATAGTAAATCAACGGTGGGATTACTCATGTTATTTTCAATAGCTAATAAGTTTGCAACGATATCAAAAGTAATAAGACGTCGTTTGATCTGTGTTGCCGAAATTTCATTTTCATTTGATGTTGATTCAACTGCACAACTTAGACGTCTTTGAGAATGTTTACCATTTGAATAAAGATATAAAATGAATTTAGAACCATATTTTCCAAATGTCTTGCGTAGATGTGTATCTACTGCATCGTTTATCAGCATATTATATGGATTTTTAGTGGGATCAAATGCTGCTAATTTTTGATAATTATCTGCATAAGGACCGTTCATAACTGATGAGATCACTTCGAAGGCGTGGAACAGTTAGATAAAAGATGATGAATGATGATATGAGGGAAGTGTGTTTCAGTCAAAAGATGATGTCATCCATGAAAAGGTTTTCGACATTTTGCTTGTAACTTATACTGCAGCACAACTGAATATTCTGATTTAGATTACAATAGTAGGATCGAGGTTTTCATTAGATGGACAGCAGTCAGTTTCTCTTCGTTTTATTTAGATGAGTTTTTGGTTCAGGTCTCAGACCTATCCCGAACTACTAGAATAACTCAGCTCATTCTTCCGCTTCAGCAGGCGAGGAAAGCAAAGATGTCAAATGAAAGTGTGCAATCGAGTAATTACGAACTCTGCATCGCACAAATGAGGGAGCTGTAGTATAATTATTCGAAGTCTGGGCCCACTCTAAAACGAGAAAGTGCGAGCAAAGTAGGATGCTCGCGATAGTAGAGGAGAAAGGTCCGTTAGCTATGAATGACGATAGCAACTATCTCGCAACATTTCGGAGGAGGAGAAGTGAGTGTGAGCTGTCTATTAGTCTTTTCTCACAGAACAATATGTAGAAGAAGTGAATCTCTTCACAGAATGCTAAGAATTTTCAAAGGTCTTGTTGTTTGTACTATACCCGAATGTTATTCCTATTTTCTCCACACTTCTCTACTACATAATTCCATTTGACATCACTATAGCAAAGGAAAATAATCTTTTTAGTACCATGTCTAACTTACTTCTTAATTAGAGCAACATACATGTGGACAGAAGGAGCTTCTCCCCTCAGAGATTATTTTCGACACCGTACATCCGATTTTGGTCAAACTTTCTGTAAATGTTATATTTAGTGAGTTGCGGGGATGAAAAAGCTTTTGTCTAAACGTTTTACGGTTTAGGAGTTTTCCAGGGATCAAGGTCTGAAAAGGACGCTGAACTTTTTCACGAGAGTTTTTTAATATACTTCAAACTGGAGAGTTCGGGTTTGTTTTATTTTAAATTAGACACCTATCGACATGGACTGATCGGCGTCGATTTTTCAATTAAGCATTTATTAGTTTTCCAGGCAGTGTGGAAACATATCCCGATTACAGCAAAAGTCTTTTATATCCCGAACGGGGTATAGTTTGAAATTATATCCCAATCAGGATATAATTCGATATCCCGATTGAGATATCAAAAGAATCTATATCTCAATCAGGATATCAAATTTGTAAGAAAGTGATAAATTTGAATTATATGAGAGCTGAATATTCTTCTTCTTCTTTATTCTTCCTCTCTAACATTCCTAGTAGTATCTTTTCTTTCCTCCAGCTGATCGATATTTGTGTCTTTTTTAACAAATAGATTTCTTCTATTAAGCATCATTCACATGTAAGCATAGTATAGCCATAGAAGATAGAAAACAAAGTCGTTAACACGCACACTTACATCTACCAGACATTTGTAACCTTCTTTCCTTCTTCGGTTATATATAAATTCGACTAAGATTTGTTAAAACTTTTTATTCGAAAAAATGGTTGCTGGGTGCTTGATGCATTTTTAGTCAAACACAACGGAATCCGTTGCAGTTTTTCGAGCTCATTCTACTGGGAAGGTCAATTTTACTACGTCGTCATTTTTCCCTTAATCGTTTTTACGACGAGCTTTTGTGTTTTATATCCCGATCGGGCTATTAATGTTTTTCTATATCCAGATCAGGACGTAGGTTACTGCCAGGCAACCAATAACCTCCAAAATTCGAAAAATTCTCAATTTGACAAAAAACTAAGTACTAATTCAAAAATCGACGCCTTTTGTTCACCTTTTACATAGACGTATTTACTTTTCACCGAACAGCTCTCATTCACCACACGCAAATCTTTGTTGCCATTTTTACTTCGAAATGTTCCATTATTTGACCAAAAAAGAACACTATAAGAGTTTCTCAGTTCTACGTTAATTGGAACTTTTACCCATTCCAACGTCCCAGTACCATGCCCAGTTGATTTTTGGATTACCTTGTCAATTTGGTCTAATATATAAATAATAACGGGACCATTTACGGCTAATTTTACGTGGACTGCTGTGAGGTTAAGTGGCTTAGATAGCTCAAATTGATAACCACGTGGACAATCAACATGATATGTCGTTTCGGTACCTGTTGAGATGGACAAATTCCAAATATAACGTCTCTATCCCATTGGCACATACGTTCTGCACGTTTTTTTTCTGCTCACACAATAAGCAACTTTATTTTTCAAAAACATGCCGCGTCAATCAACAATATAATCGCCGTTGTTCTCGACAACTTCTGCCCATCTGGCAGGCAATACCTCAA